GTGGAGGGGATGGGGGAACGGCTGTGTTGGCTGCTGGCCAAGGGCTGAACTGTAGAAGTGATCGGAAGTTACTTGCACCACTAAAAATCAAGGGCTTTCTTTTCATTTCCTGGAGGGAATCACAGCGATAACTCACAGCTCCACGCTGCTCTGCATCCCAGCATTTAATGACAGAAAAACAAAGAAATGAAGCAAAAATGAAAACTCGTAACCATAAAGACAATATACCTGTCAAGAGAAATGAGTACCCTACACTGAAGTGCTTTCACTTGATTACTGTCAACTTTTCAGCTGCAGCAAAGCACTGATGAATAAACACTCAGTCCGGGCTGCAGTAATGCTTTGAGTTAGTCTCAGTTAAGAGCCGTAATTCCAGGAGAGACTGGTTCTCAAAAGTACTTTGACTTCATGATCTGGAGATCACTTCTACAGTTCATTTTTCTAAGAATTGAAAGATCTTTTTTGTAAGCAAATGCACAATGTGTTAGATGCCTGTTTTTGTCAGCATGAATTGCACCTGCCAACTCTGCTAACCTGGCACGTCTAGATCCACTACAGTAGCTACTATCAACTAATGGGGAGCAGTTTCATCTGCTCAGTAGTGTGCCAAGAGCATTATTTTGGTTTATGTCTATCAAACAGTGCCTTTCAGCATTTTATAATGCTGCTCCTGAGAAGAGGAAGCCCTTCCATCAGGTAACAAGGCTATGGAAAGGGGATACTGTCATTGTTTTAATGTCCTTGGCTGCTGGGGCCAGGATACTGCTTTGAAGTTAGAGCTGTCCTCGCTCAGGTTGGGAGAGTTGGAGGGGATCAACGCTTCCTGCACAAGCATTAGGCTGGCAAAGGAGAAAAGTAGGGTTGTTTTTGTTTTGTTTTTTTCTGGGGGGCGGGGAGTTCAGAAGAGTATTGGGATCATCAGGATGAATAACAGGACCAAAGGTTTCTGCCCAGGTTTCCTGGGCTATATTGTTGCTTGCTGTCTCACTCCCACCCCAAACATGCTGCTTCTGCCTTACTGTTGTCTTTCTCAGTTGTAGTCTTTCCCTCTCTGTGAACTGTACAAGCTCTTGGCTCACATTCTGAGCTGGCTGTCTGTTCTTCCTCATATCCACATTGTTCCTTTGTAACTCGTACAAAATGCTCTTTGTGTATTATTTTGACTAGTACATATTTTTCTAATCAGGCTTTTGGCTTGCGCTGCTTCAGTACCTCAGACCGCAGTTGTAGATGTTGATTGAAACTCTGCCTTAGACTGTGCTGACGCACTTGCTTACTATTTTACTGTAGCATTCCAAGTCTCAAATGTGTCTCCATGAAGGGTTACCCCCTCACCCCAAGGTATCAGCCTGCTTCCCAAACCAGCCAGAGTTTCAGATACCATCTTTTCTTTTAAATGACTTCTGTTGGGTGCTAGGAGAGGTCAAACAGAACCTCCCTCCGCCACCCCAGACCACTATGTGGGTTGTAGCCACCAGGACAGAGCTCGTGCCGCCCCACAGATGTGGTCAGCCTCTAGTGAAGCCCTTGCTGTGCAGTACCATGCCCTTCACTGGAAAGGATGGAAGGACATTCCTACAACCACTTGTTACCTGCTGGAGCTCAGGCATGCTCCCCTGAGCTACGGTTTGTGCTTTTAGGAGGTGTCAATGCCCAGATCTCATGTGCCTTCTTGTTACTGTAGGCAAGAGCAAGCCATAAGCTTTGCAAAAGGAGCTTGGCAGAGGAGCCTGGGCACACCCATGAAGGTCTGCTTCATGTGCTCAAGAAACTTAGGACTGGATTTTAAAAATACCAAACCAAAACAAAAACAACAAAAAAAAACCCCACAGTAAAAATTGCAAAGCTGCTCATACTAAACACTGGCTACTTGCATAAAAATAGGGCACCTTGCCACAAACTGATTTTTGCGTCACAGTTGTACGCTTCGGTATCTCATTCTCACATAATGCTTGTGTGGTGGGCTGGTCCTGGGTCTCCTGTTGAGGAGGTGACTCCCATGTGCTTCACAAGAAGTGCAATTTCAGATGCTATCAGCACAGGCCTTGCAGGCTTGTGTTGGGAGCTGCTCCAGCCCCTAAAAGAAGCCAACCTCTTCCACTCAAGATCTGGCTAACACAAAAGTAATTGTCTCCTAATCATAGATGTTTAGGAACTGCTGCTAAGAGTTACATTAGCAGAGTCAAGGCTGCTGACTACCCGGGCTTTTACCCAGCTGGTGCGTTTGCATGGAGTAGATCTACACTGCATTGGATGTGTTTAACTGCCATTCCTCCTTGCCCATCAACTTGAGTTCAAGTCACATTTTCTACCAGTGTTTAAAGCCAGAATTTTATTCTGCTCTGTTGTTGTGCTGCAGCTACCTTTGTCAGATGCTGTCCTCAAGAGGCTGAAACCCTCCACCATGTTCAGGGAACTAAGGATCGTAGCATTACTGAGAAAAGGTCCAAAGCAGCTCTGAAGCCTAAGTTTGATGTGACAGGCCAGAGCTTGGTCAACTGCTGAGCAGGGATGGCATTAAACTGTAGCTGTCATGGTGGAGTACTCCTTCTGCACAGTAAGTCCTGTGCGTAATAGCACCTCAATACCAAAGCAGGTGCAATCCCACAAACTACTGCAGTGAAAAAGGTTTTCCATTGACATGAGACTCTATGGCAGAGACAGCCAGCCATTTAGGCACACAGCTACTTCTAATCTATCACTTTCAGAGCTGTGTCACTGCACAGAGCAGTAGATTTAAGATTTACTACTTCTGTTGCCTTGCCCCTGTGTAGAGTGGTGTGGTATGGGATGACAGCCATTCACCTCGGAAGGCCACAGCCAGTACTCCATATGTCCAGCTTGCAGTCACATTGGGCTTTCAGCGAAGGTCTGCACCAAGCTTATCATCACATCTCCACCCCTGCACAGCCCAAGTACCCCACCACTGCTCCCCTTACTTTTTATTGCTGACAAAGTGTGTAACACTTGGGTTTAGGATGTATCAACAAGCAAAGCTTTATTGAATCAATACTCAGTATTAAAAGTGTTACTGTGTGATACACAAAGCAAGGAAAAAGGCAGTGGTTTTAAAAAAGAAAAAAAAGTCATCTGCTGAATGTATGTCCCCAGCACTACAGTAACTATTGTCTGTTTCACAGTAGTTAATAACATTTAGGGAACGTTCTTCTTGTAGGAGGATCTCAGCAGAGCTGTA